GTCCGGCGGCCGAGCGGTCCCCGCCTCAAGTGCGCTGGAAGCGGCAGCTGCGAGGGCGTGGACTGCGCTCTGCCTCCGCCCCCCCGGTCCTGCCCGGGAGGATGGCGAGAACGCCTGTCCGCGCCCATCCGTTCTCAGCGGGGCCTGAATCCACGTTTAAGTCCGGGAGAGCACCTTGCCAGAGAAAGGATCGAGGCTTTGCTTTGTTTTCAAGCGAGTGGGGAGACCTAAAGGAAGACGTGGAGAGGCAGCCTGGCCTTGCTGAAGGCGCTGGATGGCTTACAGTTTTTACGTTACTCAGAGGGATTCTGAGCCCTGGGGGCCCGCAGCGCTGGCACCGTAGGCGAACTACCTTTCATCTCCTTCGGACTGTGAGGCTGTCGGGAGGGGGTGCATCCGATGGTGATGTTGCATCTATTTGAGATGGTAGTTGTGAAGGCACAAGCTGAAAAGGAAATGCTTGCTATTAGTGTTACTATAAAATTATATGCAAAACGACATATACACCAAGAGAATGAGAAGACAAACCACAGACTGAATGTTTACAAAAGACCTACCTGAAAAAGGACTATTATACAAAATATACGAAAAGCTCCCGAAATGCAATAATGAGAAAATGCACATCCTGATTCCAAGTGGACAAAAGATCTGCAAAGACATCTCACCATACAGATTAAGGCTGTAAAATAGTCAACGTCATAGGTCATTAGGAAATTTCATATTTTAGAAACAGTAATAGGGCCAGCCCATGCCCTGATGATTAAGGCAGCTGGCCTTATCTGACTGTGCTCCCTGGGTCCCAGGCTTGAGAAACATACTGGGCACATGTGTCTATGCCCAAAATCCTGCAAGAAGGAAGAAATGGAGAGGGGGCTGTGGAGTGACCATGTTTCATAGGGAAAGGGGGACAGGAGTGTCTTTCTCTCCAGTGAGCTCACATGTCTGTTGGCAATTAAAACAATGAAAAGAATAAAAAAAAGAAAAGTGAGAGATACTGCTTCACACTTAGAATGGCTAAAATCTGAAGTACTGACAATACTAAGTGTTGATCACAATGTAGAGCAACAGGGAATTTTATGTTTTGTGTGAATGCAAAATTAAAGTCACTTGGAGTACAGTTTGGCTAAATAATCTTTGTCTTATTTATTAATTTAATTAATGAGTGAGAGGCAGAGAGACAATACCCAACAAGGTCTTGACCCCACCCTCCATCTCCAACTTTAGCCAGTCCAGGAACATGAGCCTGCATATTCCTAATATACCCAGGGAGATCCCTAAGCAAAATTCGATTCTTTCATGTGCATGAGCCTCAAAGAGCATCACATTTACCTCTGCTCGAATGTCAAATCCCTACAAAACCAAGTAATAGTCTTACTACATAATCCACCAGTTGCATACATTAACATTTACTCAAATAAGTTGAGAGCTTATGTTCATATAAACATACCTGTACACAAATGTTTATAGCAAGTCATAGTTGTCAAGACTTGAAGGAACTTAGATGTTCAAGAGGTGAGTGAGTTTAAAAAAGAAAAAAGCTGAGGTACATCCATACAGTAGAATATTACTTAACTACTAAAATAAATAAATAAAAAGCCAAGAGGAAGAAAAAAAAAAGAATCTTAAGTACATGGCTCTAGATTAAATGAGTCTATCTAATAAGATTATGGAATGTGTGATTTTAACTGTGACATTCTGGACAAGGCGAAACTATGGAGATAGTAAGATAAGGGGTTTGCAGTGTCTCCTCTTGGAGTTGTATCTGATTTTTATTACCAGCTTTCATTCTAATCCACTGGGGAATAGGATGATTTTGCTTCTGCTTTTTGGCCAGAAACCGCTTGATTCTGAAAGTCTTGTGAGAAGACATGGCAAAGAGCCAAGTGGACGGTACACACCACAATGGTGGAGAAAGGAAGAGCTGTAGCATTCTTAAAATGGCCATGATCTTAAAACAGTAGTCTTACCACCAGGACTGTTCCTTGATTCTGAAGAAAGAAAAAAAATTTTGCAAATTATTGTGTATGTCTCTTTCAGTCTAAACAGAAGCTACTGAAAGACTATTACATTGCATGTCTGTTTTGAGTAACCCAGAGCTTAAATCAGAAGCTCGAAAAAACCATGAGCTTAATTAACAACCCTCAGATCCCTGGGTTAAAAAGATTTCAGTCATGGGGTTACCACAGAGCCTAGTGGTTAAGGGAGCCTGATCCTACATGGCTAACTTCAAATCCTGGACCCAGTGGTTTTTAAAATACTACAGACATACCAGATGCATATACATGCAGCTACAGTCTCAAAGGGATAAACAAATGGGGGAGAATTCTTGCATTCTTTACCCTTCCATCATTGTATCGATTCTTTTAAAAAAACAAAAACAACAGCAGCCATCCAAACTCCCACCTCACATCGCCTCTACAGAATGTTCACAGCAGAACACGTTTGATCTGTTTTTAGATTCTTGAAGAATTAAATAGTCTTTCAAGATGTTTAGTATGTTTAAAGCTGGGAAGCCGTTGGGAGTTCACAAGTGTTGTGAACATAACCGAAGCGTCCAGGTTGGCTGGGGAGAAGGTGTTGGGCTCATTAAGCAGTGAGATTACACTTAATAGGCTAGTGCTCACTAGTGGAGGGGTCCACTTTTCAGAGAGCAGTTCTCCACTCTGTGGGACACCTACAGGCAGATAAATTGAAATGCATACATCCTCATTCTCACAAATGTTGGGGCACCACATTTTGGTTAAGAATCTGAAGGTAGGGGGCCGGCAGGTGGTGTGGTGGTTAAGGGTGCTGGACTCCCACCTGGCTGACCATAATTTGAGTCCTGAACCTAGTGGCTTGCTTTATCATTTCCCTCCTTCTCTCTCTCTCCCACTCTCACTCTGCCCCTCTCTGATCAAATTAAAATAAATAAGTAAAAAATAAAGTTTAATAAAATAATAATTCTTTAAAAAAAATAAGAATCTGGGACAGTCGAGCTCTGCATCCTGGCCTCAGAGGAGAGCCACCTCCCAGACCTCCCCAGCTCCGCGGGCAGAGCTACATCTACAGAGCTATAAATTATGGACAAGCAAAGATCCCTGGAACATGCTGGACCCCAAGTTGGCTACCTCGGACCCCAGGCTGGCTAGCCAATCCCACCAGCTGGCTATTCAGGTGCTGGCCCAGTTGTTTTTCCTGTCTAGAGTCAGCCAACATACCAGCAGCCAGGTATTCCCACAGGAGTACCACTGAGACCAGCATTACCACCCTCCACTGAACTGTCCACCTGGATTGGAATATCTAAATCTGATAGACCAGATACTGGTTCATCAGTAAATTGAACTTCTGGGAAATTACCTCACTTGATGAAGAAACAATGGTTGGCAGGATTTCCAAGCACTGGACTGGGGTTGTGAGAGAGGTATTTAGAGATGCCGACAACTTTGGGATTCTGTTCCCTTTAGACCTGGATGTTAAAATGTGATGCTTAGAGCTTGCTTCCTCATTGACTTTATGTTCTTCCAAAGTGGTGGAGGCAAGGAACAAAGATCAGGAGTGTGGTAATGATTTAATGAAAGTTTCCTCGGAAAATTTGAAGTCTACATATTGATCAGAACTATCTGAAAGAAAAAAGTCTTTTCTTATTTTAATTATAATTCCTCCCAACTATATGAACCAAGCTATAATATCTGTAGCTCCAATTGTAACGATTTCACTTTATAAATGATAAGTTTATTTTCTTTACTTCTCTACTTTTTTTTTTTGAACATTCATGGTGAATTTGTGAGAAAGGACACAGGAGATTTTACACTTAGGAATGAAACTTCCAATAGATGCAAGAGAGCAGGGCTGCAGTAGCTAGTGTCATCCCCCTGAGCCCTGTGGTTGGGCTGTGGACTCTTGAGGGAACCGCACACTATGGTGAGCAGGTCTGGTGACTCCAGCTTTGTGTGTGTCTTTGCAGGTGATAGGCAGGCTTGTCTGTTGGGCCAGGCAACAGGGCTAAACTGCATGAGTCTTTCTGAGTTTCATGTTTTGGCAGAACAAGCTGTGCAGTCCAATGGACTATGTATATGCCAACGTGCCTGGAGGGAGGGGCTTAACTGTTTCCTAGTTGTGACCCAGTGGGTCTCTACGGCTGGGAAGCAGGCGGGGTGTTGCCCAGTCTATCCCCTCACCCAGAAGGGAGATCTCTGTCAGCTTCCCCTTCTCACTCCTCCATTCACACTATTCCAAGATGTCTGGAAAAGCTGTTCTGTAAGAGATGGAGCAGGGAATTGCTCATGCTGGGCCCAGGGGAGGGGGACAGTGAGGAGGAGTGAACACGTAGTTTTTGCTACTCAGTCAAGGAGAATGTCCTGATTCAAATCCTGAGGTAGAAAGTTGTACCTGGGTTTCGTTGGGGGCAGTGGGGGAGGGAGCCCAGATCCTTTCTGGGTTGGCAGATCCTTGCAGCTCCCTAAGATGAGCTCACGGTCTGTCTCAGTGCAGCTGGGAAATGCTGGAGTTTGAGGTGGA